TTTAACACAGACTGATGTACTTTGACTTTATCTCTAACTTACCAAAGTGGTGTCTTTCCTACCATGGAATATTAGCTTTCCAGATTCCCTTTGTTATAAGTTAGGGAATATAGTCCTGGTCACGTTCCCCTCAGTGTTAGTTTCCCACACACGATGTCCTTTCCCAAGGACTACTGTCTCCTGATAGCAAAGCACACGAGACAGAGTCTCGCCATCCTTGCTTCTAGACAGCATTTTGGCTGCACATCTTCCAGACAGATTTGTTGGTTCCTCTGGAAGTCCACGGTCCTTTCAAAATTCTTCACAGCACCGTAACTCAAATGCCTCAGTTATTCTTGTCTTCCTTGTTAAGAGTCTAACCTGCACAGGCATATGAGGTGATCAAAAATACTACGGCTTGGGTCAGCCTCACCTTAGTCCTCAAAGGGACATCCTTGTTCTTCAACACTTTAAGCAGGTTTTGTGCAATAGACTTGCCCCATGCGATACATAATTTGATTTCTTGACTGCTCCTTCCATGATCTGTCAAGATAATTCAGTAAGGGTCAAGTGCTAATGATGATGATTACTGTCATACCTGAAGCCTCTTCTTCTGTAACATTGAAGCATAACAAGATAGGAAGATTGGAATGAACAATTTTAAGCCAAATTTTATTAACAGTGATTGCATTCCTCTGAGCTCTGGGCTATTCTGTGAGCTCATTTTGGTGAGTTTATTAGGTATGTCTTTTCTTATCTGATTCGGGCCACATCCATTTGCAAACTTGGATAATTGTGCAAATGATTGTCAGTTACTCAGAAAAGACTATTTCAGGAAGCAGCCAGGCCACCTGCGTGCTCTCTCACAGATTCCTTCTAATCCATGTGTGTTTTCACCCTGTCAAAAGAAGCAAAATTATAGTACTTGTCTAAAGCAAAGGAGGGCAAGCACAGACCTCCTGATTTCGGAGAAGTGGGGAAGATAGAGCGGGCATGAGGCTTCTGTGGGCTGGACCTTGTGTTGTGAGTTAAAAAAAATCACCCAATTGAGTCCTCATAATAGCATATTGTTCTTCCCATTTTCCACGTGAGGAGATGGGGTCCAGAGAGGATATGATGCCACTATTGGGCCACATGCCTCGTGTTCTCTGATCTCTCTGCTCTGCTCCCCAGAGAC